TCGCTCTGAATAAAATGAACACAAACAAAGCTTCCGGCCCTGATGGCCTTTCGGTCGAGTTTTACTCAAAGTTCTGGGACCGTTTGGGTCCATATCTGTGCCAGGTATTCAATGCATGCTCTTAAGCTGGAGAGATGTGCGAGACTATGAAAACTAGTAATACTCGAGTCATTTTCAAGAAAGGGGATCGCAAAGATCTTAAAAATTGGAGACCAATTTCCTTACTAAATGTCGATTATAAGATATGTTCCAAGTCTCTTTCTCTCCGTCTCTCTAAAGTTTTACAGTTTATCGTTGATCCTGTTCAAACCTGTTCTGTGCCCGGTCGGAAAATTACGTCAAACCTACACCTACTGAGAGCTATTTTAGACTATATTGAGCGCACTAACGAAACTGGCATTCTACTCAGCCTCGATCAAGAGAAAGCCTTCGATCTAGTTAATCGCACCTTTTTATTGAATTTTTTAAACCGTTTTGTGTTTTGGTTCATCATTCTACCACTGGGTAAGCACAGTATATAATAATGGTGCTAACATGCAAGTCATCGTTAATGAATGGTTAACTGAAGCCATACCTTTGTCTCGCGGAGTGAGACAGGGGGATTCCCTGTCCTCTTTGTTGTATATTTTATCTGTTCAAACTCTCGCTTGTAAAATCCGAAACAATCCCACCATAGAAGGCTTTCTCTTACCCGGCGCACGCAGAATAAGATGTAAAGTTGGGGTATATGCTAATGATACGACCTGTATTGTTAAATCTACTCGTTCGTTGGCATCTCTCTTTGATACCACTAATATTTATGAACACGGTTCTGGAGCGCGTTTAAATGTCGCCAAAACGGAGGCCATGTGGTTGGGCGCGTGGTGTACACGGAGCGATCAACCATATGGCCTCAGGTGGTTGACCAAAATGAAAATGAAAATCCTAGGAGTCGTTTTCGGAAATGATACTGAAGTGGATAATTGGCAACCAAAACTTGAGAAGTTGGAAAAACATCTTAATCTCTGCAAATCTCGTTCTCCCTCGCTCGTTGGCAAATCTCTTCTGGTCAATGTCATAGGAATCAGTAAACTACTGTATCTTTCTTCGGTTCTGTGCGTCGCTCGATAGGTTATTTGTAAAGTAAATTCGCTAATTTGGCCTTTTGTTTGGGGCTCTCGTATTGAGACAGTAAGTTGAATGACCTGCCACCAGCCTTTTAACAAAGGTGGCCTCGGAATTCTCAATTTTCAAATCAAAGGTCACTCCTTAAAGCTAGCCTCTCTAGTGTTTAATCTCTCTAACTCCGAATCAAAGTCCTTTTACCGAACCAAATACTTACTAGGGTTTAGGCTTGCTTCTTTTCGGCCGGAGTGGCAATCTCTTCGCAACAATTCCACTCCGAGTTCGCATGACTCCACACCATATTACGAGAAATGTTTTTCGGCGCTTGCCACTCTTCGCGGGATTGTGTCCCGCAACGAGTGGCAAAACATTGATTTTACCTCTAAGAAATGCTATCGCGCCTTGTTAAGAGAGAATTCTGCTTCCCCAATTCTTCACCGTTTCTGGTCCCCCTTTCTTCCTACCGATTTCAAACTTGACAATCTCTGGAAATTGGTTCGAGATGACTTTCCAGAAAACTACAAGAATGATGTGTTGTGGTCAATTGTCCTTGGGGCCATTAAAGTCCGCGATTCTCCAAAACATTGGGGCTATACTGATACTGATAAATGTGTCAACTGCTCACGAAAATAAACAATTGATCACTGTTTTCTTAATTGTTCCCGTGCTAAAAGAGTATGGTCGTATTTTTCTCCTGTGATCTCCTCTCTCCTTCGTAATTTCTTCCCTCTTGTACTTTTGTTTTCTTCTTTCAGTGGGCTCCAGCCAGCCTAAAAAATGCCCGACTGGCCCGTTTTCTTATCAAAACGATCTTGTATGGCATTTGGAAGTTTCGTAATAATGCTACTTTTCGCAATGGAAAGGAAAATCATGAGGGTATAACCCGTTATATCCTCAATGATATCAAGAAGAGAATTCTCTGTGACCACTTTCGTCTCCTTTTATCTGACTTCAAAAATTTGTGGGAAGCTCCAGCACTGTGTCAAGTAGACAATACTACTATTACAATTCTCGTGTAAATAATTAATAGTTGATTTAGTAACTAATTTAATAGATATGTTAATTTTTGAACAGTTAATTCCTTTTAGGTTTCAATAAATTATCCAGCCCTAGTAGCATTACTACATTAGTTTATTAGTAGCATTAATATTGTATTCCTTGAACATTACATTTATTGAATAGATCATTAGCATCACTACATTAGTTAACACTAAATAGTTAAATATTAGTATTATTTGATTATTAACTAGCCTATTAGCCACACTTTACATTTATGGAATATTAATAGTAATCTCATTAGCATATTATATTAACGACCATTATAGACCCTGAACTTTTCCGAACTGCTTAGTTAGTTGGGGCCAAGCCCACGTGCGTTAGCACTTTTATTTTGTAAATCAAGGTGGTTTGTTCCGAATAAGCCCTTTTCAAAACTTAAAAAAATGTCTGCAGCTAGATATAAGCATGTACATCTATATATTTATAGATTTATATAACT